GTTAAAGTTCACATACTCTGTTCTTTCTTCCTTGTTTTATACAAGCATTAATCCCATCATAGGGGCCACACACTCACCCCCTCATCTAAACCTAATTATTTCCCAAAATAATTCAAAATTATTTCACAATTAAATTATTTCGCAAAATGGTACAGTTGCTTTGGAAAACGGTTTGTAACTATCTCAAAAAGTTAAACTTTATTTGGCCCAGGGGTTCTACTTTTAGTAATCTACTACCTATTACAAATAAATACAATGTTTACTCAAAGGTATTTATGTATATATTCATGGCAGCATTTATTTTTCACAATAGCTTCAGACTGGGATGAATCCAGAAGTCCAACAACTGGTGAATGCTTAAATAAAATCCATGTTCATGTGGTGGAATATTATTCACAGTCTAAGTTAGAGACCAGCAAATTATGGCAAGGGGCACGGGACCAAACTAAATCTGGCCATGTCTGTTTACCTACCTATTGGGTGTGTCTGCCTTCATGCTACAGTGACACAGTTTAATCATTGTAAGGGACATATAGGCTGTGTAGCATAAAATATTTATTATGTAATCATTTACAGAAAAAAATTCCCAACTCTCCAGCTTAGCGAGAGACGCCAGATGAAAAAGACTGCATCTTCAATAATTACAAGTATGTGAAATGCCCAGGAAGGGCAAATTTCCAGAGACAGAAAGCCAATCAATGATTTCTTCAAGTTGGGGTGGAGTAGGGATTATTTGCAAATTGACACAGGCAAACTTTTGGGGATAATGGAAATGTTTTAAATGAGGATTGTGACAGTGATTGCACATACTGTATAAATTTACTAAAATCCTTCAGTTACATAGTTATAATGTAATGAATTTGTGATAGCAAATTACTTGCCCAAGTTGTTGGGAAAAAGTATTAAATGAGCTAATGTAAACAGTATTGCACAGCTTTTGTAGATAATGGATAGTAAGTGAAGGGTAATTGCTATTATTATAATATCTTATAATTTTAGAAGATATGTGCTATGGATTGGATGTGCCCTTTAAAAGTCCGTGTGTTAAAGGTTTGGTCCCCATGGTGGTGTCATTTGGAAGTGCTGTGAACCTTTAGGAGAAGAGGTCCTTAGGTTCCCATGGTGTGCCATTGAAGGGGAAGGTGGGATAAGCCCCCCTCCTCTCCTTTGCCGTGAGGTGTGCAGTTTGCTCCACCATGCCTTCCCCACCATTGTCGTGGTATTTCCACCAGGGGTTCAAAGTGATGGACCTGCCATTTTTGTACTGTAACTTCCAAAACTGTGAGCTAAAGTAAACCTTTTAGGTATTTCTTTATAGTAATACAAAGCAGACTAGCACAGCTTTTTTTTTATTTCATTTGATTTTCTTTCTATAATTGGAATCTCATCCCTAACTTATAATGAAAAAAATGAGGCTAACAAGTTATGGAGACCAGGGGTTATAAATTGGATGTGCTTCTTTGACTCTGTATGACACAGCATGGCTTCTAAGTGTAACAGTTTGTAATGATAATTTGCCTTATGCATTGGACCTACTGCTATTTCAGCTAATGTTTCTATGTAGCTTTGTAGTCAACATTCTATCCATCAGTTGCTACACAATTGTGAGTTACTTGGGGTATAAGTTTAATTCTTGTCAATTTCTATGGGCATGAGGTTTTAAAATATTTTCCTAATGTGTTCTTTGATGTTAGTGAGTCTGTTAAACCAAAAATTTGTTTAGCTTTAATTGGAGAATGGTAATCTTTTAATGAAAACATTTACAATTACAAGCATACTTTATAAAGATGTCAGGATATGAGTGTCATAACTGTTGGAGTTAAGAATAATTGCCTTTCAAAATAACTGAGTTTGAAGGTGGTATTTCTCTATTTTATGTTAGTAGTAGTAGCATTATTTTTCCATTTATAGACTTATAAGTGCAATTTGACATTAGAAATGATCCAAAACATATAATAAATGTTAAATTAAGTTACCTTTACAATTAAACACTTATGGGCCAAAAGAAGAAATCTTTGAAGAACATTGAGAAAGAAGAGTCAGATTATGACTGTTTAGAATGTGATGTTAGGGAAACAAGAATTTAGAGCAGTTTTTCTAAATCTGTTTTGAGTCCTAGACTATGTGGGCAATATTGTAGTTTCTTTAGAGTTACGTCTGTTCGTCACTTCATTCCTTTAGGTACTGATTGCTTGAAACTGTCTTTTTCTAAGCGCTCCTCCCAGCAACATCTCTTTTATAGTCAGTTGCTGGTCCAGCTGCTTTTTTAACTTCGCGTAATAGTTTGGCTACAATTTCTTGAAATTTAGTCATAGAAAATGCTCTCTTGTGTCTGGGATTATATTACTCAGCATAAAGTCTGTGAAATTCATCTATGTCATATTTTATTGCTCTGTGATAGTCTTTTGTATGCATATATCACTCAGTTTTGCTTATCTATTCACTTGGTGATGGACATTGAGATCATTTCCAGTTTTTGATCATTGCACACAATGTTTCTATGGACATTCTAGTTGAGAAAGAGTTAATGCAGCAGATCTGCTATTGTTCAACTCTTGCCTATCTTCTAGAGGGCCTCCTTGTGTTGCTGACCCTTGATCAATTTCTGGGAACCTAACCCTTGCTATGTTCTCAATGCTACTAAATGATAAGCTGAGTATGAAACCATGCCATGCCACCTTGTTTAGATTGTTTTTGTAAAATGTGACTTTTGGTGAACTCTTGATTTCTTTCTTAGGGTCTGTAGTTGTGGTAATCATAGCTGGTTGCTAAACAAGTATGTTATAAAATCTCTAATAAAGTCCCTGAACTCTGCAACTCAAGCATTCTTCTCTGTAGATACACTGCATCATTACTAGATTACTAGATTACTGTGCATCATTGCTAGAGGGTTAGAGTTGTTGGATCATCTGGTAGGTGTATATTTAACTTGATAAGAAACAACCAGTTTTCTGCATGGTTGACCTTTTGTCGCCTCCACATACAAAGTACAAACATGTCAGTTCTACGTTCTTGTCAATACTTGCTACTGTGAGTTTGATTTTATCCATTCTAGTAGGTCTGTATAATCTCACTGAGTTTTCTTTGTATTTTTCTGAGAGTTAAGTATAATGAGCACCCTTGTGAAGGTGCTTATTGGCCGTTGTATATATCTTATATTTTTAAATACCTGTTTAGGTCTGTCCTCCAATTTAAAAATTTTGAAAATGGGTTATTCTTTTTGGGTGAAGATGCCTATGTATTGGTATGCAAGGTGCTTCACAATGTAGCAGTAAGCAAAGAAGCATCTTTCACTTCTTCAGGAGCACAGGTACTGTATGATAAAATGAGTTGTCTTTTTATTGACTTAGAGGAACTTGTTTTATACCCTGTAATACTACTTGAATTTGGTGGTAACTTAGGCAGTCACAAAATCATTTTGCTTTATAGTGGCCTCTAGATAAATAAGATAGTACAAGCCAATAATAAGATCATGTTTAGGTTTATTGTGATTCCTTCCTGAATAAGTAACTGAGGTTTTCCTATGCATTGCTAATAAGTACTTTCCTTTTCCTCCAATTTTTTTAATGGTAAATACACATAACAAAATTTGTTATCTTAACCAGTTTTGGTATACATTTCAATGGTATTAAATACTTCATAATGTTGTACAACCATCCACCATCCATCTTCCTAACTCTTTTTATCCTGTAAAACTGGAATTTTATACCCATTGGAAAATAATCCCCCACTCCTTCCTTTCAATATCTGATAACCACATTCTACTTTGTGTATGGTTTAAATGTATTGTCTCATATAAATTTAATCATATAGTCTTTGTCTTTTTGTGACGGGTTTATTTTACTTAGCATAGTAATCTCAAAATTCATTCCATGCTATAGCATATGTCAGAATAATATTCCCTTTTATGCTGCATTGTGCTTCTCCATTTATTTGTCACTGGATGGTGGGGTTGCTTCTACATTTCACTCTTGTGAGTGATAACAATTATGAACATGGGATTTATTGATCCTATTCAGGTTCAGAACCCATTTTCAGTTCTTTTAGATACATACTGAAGTATAATTGCTGGGTCACGAGGCAGTTCTAAGTTTAATTTTTTTGAAGAAGCATCATACTCTTTCCCACAGTGGCTATAGTGCTCCATGTTTCTACCAGCAGTGTGCAGGGTTCTAGCTAGTTTTCCACATCCTTGCCAACTTGTTATTTTTTACATAGAAATCACCCCAATGGCAGTGAGGTGGGAACAGTTACTTCCCGTTACAAAACAATGCAGTGATTACCACTCTGTAATTGGCTTATATACTTATATTAGTACTGTTATTTGTCTTGAATTTTTACATGTACAAGTAAATATTGATACCCAGATTCCAAAAAACAGGTTTATTAAGCCCCCTAAAAGTTGTTATACTCTTTTTATTGTTAAATGTACTGTATGTTTGGCTGTTCACTGTTAAGCTCTACATTGAATTAAATATTTTGACTAATATTAAAGTATTTCAAATCTAACAGGAAGCAGAAAAATAGTAATTCCTGTCAGTTAACTTTGAATCTAATATTATTGCTTTGCTACTTTTCTTACCTTTTCTTTATCTTGCTTTGTGTAAGATCAGTTGGATAATATTGCATATCTTAAACATAGTATGGGGAAATTTATTTATACCAAAAAACTATTATTTATAGCTAGTTTTTTCTTAAACTTGCCAGAGTAACTGGCAAATGTTGGGTAATCTGTACTTACTTTTAATTTGGAATAATGCAAAGTTAATTTAGCTTTTATTTGCAAAACTTAATTTAAATGAGATAGTATAACAATTATTGGCAGAATTATCATTATTTTTATTATAAAATGGCCCATAATTAGCCTGAATTGTGATGTGCTATTCTAATTGTTTTGCTAATTTGGGGGATGGAGGACAGTAAAGGCTGTTTGAATATCATGAATGTAGATGGAATTACAAGTGTAGGAAATCAGATGGGGGAGTAAATTTGCTAAATGAGTATGTATACGTATGTACATGCATGCATATAGACTGATAACTATGCTTAGGTACATATGTATTCAGCAGAGCTCAGGTTGTTATTTATTTCCACAGCTTTATATTCTGTCATATTGTTCTGTGTGTTCTTCTGGATCCCTTTTGTCTACTTCTACTATGAGGAAAAGGATGATGATGATACTGGTAAATGCACTGTAAGTTATGTTGCTTTTGTTGAAAAAGATTATTTTCTCCTTTTTAAAAAAGGGTATGACTCCATTTCCGTTTATTTTAGTGTTTAAGTTATTTAAGTGTTGTAGAATAGAGATATGTTATCCACATGTAAATTTTGAAGCTTTCTAGTGGTTATATTAAAATAAGTGAAAAGAAATAGTCGAAATATACTTTAATTATATTTCCTATAATGCTTCAAATATTATTTCAAATATAGTCAAATTATATTAGTGACTAAGAAGATACTGAATTTCTTTTTTACACTGTCTTTGAAGTTTAGGGTGTCTTCTACACTTACAGCAATTTGAAATAGCTGCATTTCAGATGCTCTGTAATATCTGACTTGTGAATATTGCTTTAGACAGAGTAATTCTAGAGCAAGGTTCAGCAAGCATTTCTTCTGTAGAAGAGATAATAGGGATAGGAATAATATACTTATCTCTATTGACTTACGGAATTTTTTTTCTAGTATGGTTATTAGAAGGGAAAAAGAGTTTTATAAAGAGAATCAAAATTATTGCTTGAAGATAATACACAAGTTTAGATTATGAAAGCATATGATGAGGTGACTTGTTACAAAATTAATAAAATCTCAATGAGATTTATGTTGTCACTTCCCTACCCTTTGGTTAATCTTGGGATCCCCCTTACTTTTTCTGTAGTTTTTTTTACTAAAAAGACTATCCCACCAGTGCTGGCCTGGCAGAGTGACTGAAGTAATAGAGCCTCTGCCTAACAAGCTGAGGTTCTGAGTTCAGTCCCCCAGTACTGCCAAAAAAAAAAGAAAAAATTACTACATGAAACTTGAATTTGAATTTAACAAGGTGACTTATTGGAGACTTCATTATTCTGAAAGGACAAATAATGCTATTTTGACTGATTTAACTTTTTCTTTAAGAGTATTACTTTTCTTATTCAGAATGTCTAGCTCTGTGTTTTTCCATTTGTCCTCTAGATTATAACATTGGCACTGAGCAAAGCTCAGCTTGTGAATTCCCATGGTTTTGATTTCAAGCCCTTGTTTAATCACTTATGGTCAATGTGGTAGAGAAAATTATTTAACTTCTGTGGGTCTCAGCTTCCTTATCTCTAAAGTAGGGACAAAAGTATCTGTCTTAGGGTTGTCATGAGAATTAAGCCAGTTAACATGTAAAATTCTTAGAGTAGTGCTGGGAATTGTGTGTATTGTGTATAACATATAAATTTAAAGTACACACTGAGAGCTGGGTGTGGAGGCAGTTGCCTGTAATCCAATCACTCAGGAGGCTAAGGAAGGAGGATCACAATCTTGAAGCTGACCTGGTCTACAGAGCAAATTCTAGGCAGGCCAACCTGAGATACTACCTCAGAAAACAAAAAATTATATATATGTGTCAAATATATAAAGGAATTTACATATATTCAGTAATTGTTGTTAAAACCCATTTTGATTAATTGGGTTAGAGGTATTGTAGGTTCTGATTGCTGTTTGGAAGAATATTTTATTAAAATTCTGATAATTCTACCTAATATGCCCACTGGATAATTAACTATGCTCTCAGTGTATTGCTTTGCATAAGGGCCTAACCATTAAAGATTTAAAAATCTTGCATATTTTACAAAGATTCTTAAGATGTTCTTTTTCCTTTGCATTTTAGTGTTTCTTTCTCAAGTACTGAAACTTCATATTGTTGACTTTAAATGTATATTTATCCTGAAAGTACTATTGGAAGATTTTTTTATATAAGGACTTGCTAAATGATATATGTTTCCCCTTCCCATCTAGCAAATTAAAACGGCACTCAAGTACACGTTGGGATTTGCTGTGATTTGTGCACTTCTTCTTTTAGTTGGGTAAGTCTTAATTTTTTTGCCCTGACAATAGAAATAGAATTATTTGAATAGTTATAACAAAGAGTTCATTCAGAAAAATCTAGGAAAGAAAAACAAAATGTGAAAAGAAGAACAAATCACCTTTTGTATCACTAATGAACAATAGCCACAATTATTAACATTTTTGTCTATGTTGTTCCATCTGGACATTGTTATGTGTTTAAATGAGGAAGGAGTACCCCGCCCCTTGTGTGTGCCCTCTCCAGTTTTATTTTTACACTAATGTGATCATGTTTTATACAATTCTTGGTAATGTGTTACAATAATCATCTCTCTCAGATAGTAAGTGTAGAATCATCAGTTTTGTCTCTAAGCAGTGCTTTCTTAGGGTACACAGTTCACTGGAATGGTCCTCTAGTGATGGCTATATGAACATCTAGGATGTTTACATTTTTCTCATTATTGAAAACAACACTTAAAAAAAACCTTGTCTGTGCATCTTTTATGTTTGATTCATCAGTCAAATCTTAGTCTTTGAGTTCTTCCAAATTCTATCTATACAGTTTTGCAAATTTGAAATTTGTCATCGTAACAGCAAACATTTAACTTTGTAAAAGTAGATCTTGATTTTTTCATTTTTAGTGTTAGGAAATACATTAGGTGCTGAGTCTTTAAAATTTTTGCTTATGATTTGCAATAAGTACCTTTCAGTAAGCAACATAATTCATTTATTAAACCTAATTTATGGTGGGAATAAAATTGGTCATTAATTTTTATTGTTCTAATTGCTCATATAGTGCAAGTGTTTTATAGTCTAGGCCCATTTACAGGTTTTTTTTGCCTGCCTTGATATGTCATGAAAATGGGTACTTGTTGAAAAGACATTTTTAGTGGTATTGCTATTCATTTTAAGTACTGAATTTTTTGAAAAGTCTTTTTAGTTTTTGTGCTTAAAGAATGCCAAATCTGCCCCTATTAATTTGTTTTGAAATGTGGAGATCCTTGTGTGTGAACATAAATTAATTATCTAGAATGGGGTCAATAAACTTAAAGGGCAGACAGTAAGCATGTTAGGTTTAGTTCAGTCTGTGTGGTTGATATGTCCTCATAACTCTGGGTGTAAATACAGGTAGCCAACAATTTGCCAATCCCTGATTTAGAGCATGACTGAGAGCCATAAAAAAAGCTACTAATCTTTGCAGCAGCTGGAATAAAAGAATAATGAATTAAATGTTAGTCATGTTTTGGTCATCGTGGACAGTGCTCCCATTACCATATAAAGTGGTGGAATGAGGCATATTTTTAGGTTGTGACTCACTAAATTTCTTGAAATTTTCATGAAGGTGGAATACCCTAGTTTCTTTGAAGTGGTATTTTTCTTGCTGATAAAATTGTAGATAATTTATTGGCAAATATGTGGTCTAGGTTTTGTCCTCTAAGTTCGCACTGGAGAGACACTATAAATCAATTATAGTGTTTAAGTGCTCTAATAAGAGATATTCAGCAGGTGCTGATATTGGCGGAGCAAGGTCTTATAGAATCAGAAGATTTAAGAGGAAGTAGTATTTGAATTGAGATTTGAAGGAGTAGAAATTGGTCAGCCAACTTAATAAAGATGATAGCTTTCATAATAAGGTACCCCAGACTGTGTGACTTAAATAACAGACATTTATTTTCACAGTTCTGGAAGCTAGAAATCAAAATGCTGGAAAGTTCGGTGTCTGGTGAGGGTTCTCTTCCTGCCTTGTAGAGGGCCACCTCTTATTGTGTCTTTATAAAAATTTTCCTCTGTGCTTGTATGAAGAGATAGCTTTCTGGTGTCTCTTGTTTTTCTTATAAGGATACCAGTCCCATGGGATGAGGGCTCCACCCTTATCACCTCATTTAACCTTAATTACCTTCCTTTAAGACTCTATAGCCGCGCACTATAACATTTGTTAAATGCTCAAGGGATACAAGTCAGTCCATAAAATATATTAACTGAGAGACTGAAATTAGCATAGAATGTCATAAAAAATATGATATGAATTTAAACCTTCCCTTCCCCTCAAAACAAAAACAAAAATGAGAAACAAAGTGTGATATTTCAAGTGTTCACATGGCCAATGATAAGATATACCATTAGGTAGATAGGTAGACTCTCAAGTCTTACATACAGTGCTTTAAGAAATTTTGAGTTTTATCCTACTGAACAATTGAAAGACAGTGAAGATGTGTACATATTTGTGTGTGTGAATGCAGGAAAGCAAATATACCTTACTTTGCTTTACAAGTTAGAGAGCTGTGAAGGATGCATTGAAAGGGGCATTTGGAGGTTGTGTTGGGGAAGTGATAGGTTAACAGGAAGATCAGCCAGGTAGCCTTTGCAATAATTCAGGTGAGAGATGTGGGGCAGAACAAGAATTGTTACAAAGAAAGCAAGAAGAAAGAAACAGATAAGCCATTTGGAAGATAGATATGACTTGCCTTGGTGATTGAGTATAGACAGTCAAAATTTTATATTCAATTCTACTGACTTCATCATTTCAGTTTCATATCTACTGAAATTCATTGGCCTTTTCTTTTGTCTCTTCCTGAAGAGATAATCTGTATTAAGCTAATTTGATGAGTGAGATTGGGCATAAAATATTTTTACTAAGCAATTTTTCAGTTTTATTATTTTCAAGGGTATGAGAAAAAATTATAGTTTTCTAGGTTGCAGCTCTTATTTTGTACTTGTATTGTGTCTTAAGATATGGAAGTGCTCTCTATTCTTTTTTTGTTTGTTTTTGAGAAAGATTGAGATTAAGAAAATATCTGTATGGTCTTGCTGCATATATATCATTGTACTGTAACTTCTGATTACCATAAGATCACCACCATTTAGTAAATGCTCAACAGTCTTATTAACTGCTTTTTCCCTTCTCAAACTTGATGTATCTGTATTACATCCTCACCAGATTTCAATTGCCTTTTTCTTTGTTAGGAGGTATTCCTTTTTCTTTGTAAATCTTTTTTTCTTCAGAGCTGATATTTTGCTAGTGAACAATGGTTTGTTCCTTCAAGTGCTTTGAAGGTTGAAATGCTTTCATATGGGTCAGCTGTTCCTTTTCACCTCAGCCTGGCCCCATTTAAAGGGTAAAACCTAGTTCATAAGGGTCTGTTAGAATTAAGGTCAGCATCCCTGCTCATTGATTAGTGCCTTTACTATATTGGTTGTTAAATGTTTGGAAAATGCTCAGGATTTCATAGTGAGTTGTAATTAGTTTGATTCTGTTTTGGATGTTTCACTCACTTTATGTGAAAATATTTGGGTTTGTGTTCTAGTTTCTACCTAAAATAGTAATAAGTGTTCAAATGTTAGTTTTCTGGTGGATTTCTTCAAAATTATTGAAATTATTCAAAATAATTTCAGGAGTGAAATTCTGCTGAGAATAGTTTGGACCTCTTAGAAAATTTTTTTAATTCCTTTTGGTCATATGACATTTCTTCTGCCTAGTACTCTTTTTTAACTATTTGAATTGTCTTGTTTGAACTTGGAGGTATCATCAAAAGGAAAGGTTAGTTTTCTTCTACCACTGTACAGTACCTTTGAAAACTGACACATGGAGCCTGCACTTCCTGAATATGAATGTTAGTTTGAGATGTTCACAGTATTTCTATTGTTCCCCATACTCACAGATGGGTATTCCCAATGAACAAGTTGAAAACATTTACCCTCGGCATATCCAGAAAAAACTGAGTACAAATAACATAGAGGGTATTATATAAGTAGTTTTTTTTTCTTGCTTAATTAAATCTTAATATTAAAAAGTTAATGTTATTGTTGACATATAGTATGCAATATTTGTTTTTTAAATTTAAAGTTCTTACCTCACTGCTTTTATTTGTTTGATTTTATAGCTAGGCAACAAATACTGAACTTTTTACATTTATTGCTTTGTGCCTTTGAGTAATTGCTTTTCTTTCTAAAAGCGGTGAGAATTAAGCTTCTAAGATTAAGAGCAGTATCGTAAACTAAAATCAATGTGAGTAGTTAGAATTTTTTTTCAATGCTAGGGATCAAACCCAGGGCCTTGCCCATGCAAGGCAAGCACTCTACCACTGAGTTATATCCCCAGCTGATCCCCAGTTAGAAATTGAAATAACTTCTTAATATGTTCTTCCAATTCATCTTTCTTATAATAATTATCAGTAGTATCAAGAAATCAAGCTTTTAAAGTTAAAAACTAAATATTAAAATAATTATTTTCCTTAACTTGAAAATATTATCAGAACAGATAACCTTAATATATGTTGAACTCATCCAGTATTTCCTTTTTATAAAAATTGATAAATGTTACTGTATAGCTCTTAATTAAAATTGGGCTGGGAAAGAGGTAGTAGTATTAAGGTTATTTTTGCCTTCTTGTTTGATTGGCCACATACACAATCTAAGGGACATCAAGCCCTTTGCCTTAATCTCCTGATTGTCTGCTTCTGTTTCTTGACCTGAGCTAGGTAATGAACTGACCACGTATTCATTGTGTGTTCCATTTTCTCCTAGTGTAAGCTCTTAGACAATTTCCATTTCCATGGTCTCCCTTCAACTGTGGCTTAGAAAATAAGTGAGAAATATTTTCATTGTTTCTATTAGGTAGACTATTGAGAGATATAGAAAAATAATGAGAAGAAAGTTAAAATAACCCCTAATTCCACAGTGTGTAATTTATTATTTATTGGGATGTATTTTCTTTCTATTTTGCATATACATATATTGAAATAGTTGCGTGTATTTATATTCTGTTCTACTAATTTAGCACAGAGGTCCTTGACCTTTTCTTGTACCATAGGCTATTTTGACCATCTTAAACCTATGGTCCCTCCTCAAAATGTTGTATTTATTAATTTTGTGTTTTATTTTTCCCAGCTTTATGAAGGTATAATTGTCAAAATATTTTTAAATGCAAAAGGTAATATATGGGGTTCCAAAGGAAACACTTAATGAAGTAATAAAAATATTAAAACAAATTTGTGATAAAGTAAGTAAATAAATAAGAAACTTATCATTCCTCTCTGTGCCTGGTATAGATATATTAATTCTTTTGGGGAAAAAGTTGATCTTTATTTCTAAAACTTGAGTTTCAGACCATTTTCTTTCACTTAACTTTTTATTTTTTAAAGTCAGTAAATAAGAATTATTTTCTCCTTTGTAGTGCTTTTGTTCCTTTGAATGTTCCTAGTAACAAAAATTCTACAGAGTGGGAAAAAGTGAAGTTTCTGTTTGAAGAACTTGGGAGTAGTCGTAAGTATTTGTTTTTAAAAAAAACTCATAATAATTTCTATTTCTTAATTTTTCCCATTTTTAAATAGTAACATAGTTTTGTCCTGCTCAAGTTTAGCCCCACAATTTTTTCACTTGTTAAATTTGTGCTAGGCAAATTTAAGGCTCACTTCTAGCTATATTATATATCTTGTTTCTTGGCTTCTGCATAAAATTACCATGTTAAAAAGAAAATTTAATCTTCAAAATATTTTGGCAGTAAAGATCTTACAATTTCTGTGTGATCTTCAATTCACTTAGGTTAATATGGATATATGTTAAAGAAATGTGCTGGTCATACTGGTTTTTACTTTTAATTTTAATTAGTAAAAGAGAGGCCTATATTACTTGAGATGAAGAAATCTTTTATGCAGGATATAAATTACAGGTGTTTCATATGATTTAGATAATGTTTCATTATAAATTTATTTCACTAAAACATTTTAGCATTGCTTTCACAGAAGTTCTTAACCTAATCCATGTGACCTAGGTTTATATAAAGGGTGGGGGAAGGAAAGTTCAATGAATGAAGATAGTTGCTTAATCATTGAAAAATAGCTTCCATTAGAGATATCATGTAAAAATGTAAAATACTACTCAAAAATTTTTGTGCATTTGAACAAAGTTGATTTTATAAGAAACCTAGGATACTAATTTTATGACACTGAAAAATGTTAGTGCTTTTGTATTTCTTTCTAAGTCCTGCACATTCTTTGGTCAGCACTTTTTTTGCTTTTTACTCAGATGCAATATTAAGTAATGATTAAATTGTGTCTTGGAATCTACCATGCAACTCCTAATTTTCTTGTTTTTCACTTAAGATTTCATCTTGTAAATTGTGGTCCATTAATATCTTGCTGATACTAGCAAGAATAAGGATAGCAGGACTGACATCTACTGTTAATTAATTGTCAGGATTTATGAACCTTGATTCTGTTGCTGAGAAATAAATGTCTCCGTTTCTTGCTGTTAACTCTTTTGAGGTTTTCAGTACTACTCTTCTGCCCTAAACATTATTTCATAAGTTACAGCAGTCTTTGCATATTAGTGTCACCTGAATCACTAACTAGGTAGGTAGCATTATTCTAAAATTTGCAACCTCACTCTTAGTGTTAATTTTATTTTTTTTCTTAAATCTTAAATACCATATTCTGGAGTACATTTCACATATACCTCCAAATTTGCCATCTTTTTAGGTTCAAATCAGTTACCCAACAATTATTAATTTCTCATCTTACTGTCCTTCATCCCTCCTCCTTTCATTTTTTAGGCATCAAGAATATTTAGCTTTTTAAAAACACCCACTTTACACATAGTGAAATGCATACATCTGTGCATGCTGTATGTAATTAGTAAAGTGATTGCAATCAAGGAATGGATCACATCCATCACTACAGAATTTTCTTCAGTGTACCTATTCACAGTGTACCTGTGAGAAATACTGCTATATGTTAGTTTTGCCTTTAAAAGAATCAGTGGAATTATATATTTTTTTGTATATGCCTGGCTTCTTTCACTAAATGTTTTGAAATTAATTTGTATAAGTAGCTGGTTCATTTTTATTGTAGCAAAGTAATATTTTATGACTATACTACATCTTTATTAATAGGATCTATTTATGTATATATCCAGATCATAGACAGTACCTTATCTAGAGAATCTTTTCAGTATCTTTGTCATCTTTACTCAAATAGGAGTAATTCTCAATGATCAATTTTGAATTCTTTGGTCAGATGACTTAAACCATTAGTAATATTTTTGATTGGCTAAATATGCTGGTCTAGAACTCCATTTTATCAGTTCTAAGATAATATTTTTCACATTTTTATATCTCTAATTTTGCTGTATATTCTGCAAGCTTTGATACCTTAAAATTGCTATCAGTCCTGTCTTAGTGGTATGAATACTTTCTATTGATACTTCTGTTAAGATCAAGAAAGTAACAGCACCAAAGTATCATTGATTTGATAAAATGTACTTTAAAAAAATTAATGTTTAACAATTTGCCTTATATAATTTGTAAGTTTGTTAATAATATGCTTTCTATGTGTTATATAAGACTGGGGCATGAGTTTTAAGAACCTTTATCATTATAGTTTCATTAATATTCATGAAAATATTAATATCAGTATATTAAATTAATCAAAACACTATACTTAGTTTCACAAGATCTGCATTTAAACTAGATCAACATAAACTCATAGGACCAGTATTAAATTTAGAAAAAAATTATTCTTATTTAATAATAGTCTCATTCTCATAGTATTTCCTTATGTATTCTGATACATTTATGTATCACTCCAGCCCCTCACTTATGGCCTTCCTTTAAACGATGTCTTAAATCCAACTTGTTAATATAGTTTCCTTCCCTTCCCTTCCCTTTCTCCTTCCTTTCCTTCTTTTCTTCCTTCCTTTCCTTATTCAGGGTATCACTATATAGCCCAGGTAGCCTTGTGTGGGTCCTCCTGCCTTTTAGAATTCTGAGGTTACTGGGATTACAGGCATGTTCTACCATGACTTGCTAATATTGCTTTTTATTTTGTTAAATTTGAAAATATTTTGTTTGCTTTTTTTTTTTTTGCCAAGTTGGTAAGCTAATCCTTTCAAGTCAGGAAACAAAGTAAACTCTTTAATATTAAAACTTAAAGACTTACTTTAAAATTTAAAGACTTACTTAAATATTAGAAACTTACTTGAAAATTAAGAAAAAAGAAATTGGAAGTATCAAGATGGAGAGGACGGTTGAACTGACCAAAGTAAAGCATGTTCACAGCTGGGATACATTGAGAAACCCCTTTAAACATTGACTTTGGAATTAATAATGAAAGACAGGTACAGCATGTGTGTGTGGGGGGGGTACTTGTGTGAAGGGGGGGTGAAAGAAGGAGATAAAGGGGAAGGAATAGGTTTGATGGGCTTCATATACATACAGGCAATAGAATGATAAAACCTCTTGTAATTGCTCTAAGTGGGATAGGGAATGGGGAGTGGGGGTAGGGGGTTGGGATGATGGAGTAGGTGATCTAATCAATGTACTGTAGAAGGCTTTTTGGAATTTTCACAGCAGATACCCTGTATAATTTATATATGTTAATAAAAATGGGGGGGGGAGAACAAAAAGAAAGAAAAAATAAGATTGAGAGAAGGGAGAAGGACGTAAGGTCAGTGGCTTTCCTATATATTGCTGTTTATAAGGTCTGCTATTGAGAAAGGCCAGGCAATCTTTTTATCAGTTTGGGAGCAATAATTAGGCCCAATAATGAAACATTAATTTTCCTCTTAATTTTAAGAGTTGATGGGAAGGAAATCTTAGCTAATCTGAAAGATCAATAAATCAATTTATGAAGAGCCTTTTAAAAACCCTTCTCTCTACTCAGCACTGCAAAGACATGGTAATATGTATCTGTTTTATTCCTTCAGATTATCTAAGCAGTCTTAAGTTTTTCTATTCCATACTTATTTGATGAATATAAACATTTGAGTAGTGTATATATATATTATTTATTTATGTGGCAGTACTGGGATCTAAACTCAGGGCTTCATGCTTGCTACCCTTTGAGTTACTCTGCCAGCCCATGTATGTACGTTTTTTAACAGAGTTTTTCCTTCTTTACAGATGGTTTAGCTGCCTTGTCATTTTCCATTAGTTCTCTGACCTTGATTGGAATGTTGGCAGCTATAACTTACACAGTAAGTATAATGATGATAATTCAGTTCAAATTAAAGAATCGCCTTATAAGGCAACTTTTTTATGTTAGTAATCTATGCAACTATTTTCCTCTTTAATATTTTAGTTTTCTCTTTCAATCTTCAATATTTTTACTTAAAAGGATGGTAAAGTTTTAACTATTAAAATAATCATTTTAATAAAATAGTTATTTGTATTTGTGAAATTTAATATTAGAAATAAGTTATAAGACTTGTGCACCTTGAAGGTGATTATATACTTATACATTAATAGATTTACTGATGTATAAGTAAGCAGAATTCTGAGCCACAGGTCAATATCTGTTACTAATTCAGTAGATTTATCTTATTTGGTGATAGAGTTTTTAAAATCAGATATTTTATATAGCTCAATACTTTTCTAGTATGTAGAATTTTTAATATTATACCCTTTGACATTTTGTTTTCTGTTTTTATTCAAGTGTTTCTGGAAGTGGCAAAGTGTGAATTACAAAGGATTGACAGACATAGAACTATTCTTTGAGTTTTTGCTCAAATTAGGAAGGAAAAGTCAAAAATAAATGCTTCTTTTTTCTTTTTACATCCCCTTCCTCCCAACTCAGTTGTACAATTAGCATTAAAATAATCTAGAATCTTTTCACATTAATGAAGTTTATGTTTAGAGCATTTTTGATTCTTGCAAAGATGAAAATAATGTATATAAGGGTATTGTTTGGGGATGTTTTCCCAGTATGTCTTTATTTAGGCATTTAAAAAATGGGCTGTTAGTATAAGAGCAAAATTTAGCTTGCTACATGATCATTCATGTGTCATGATTTATAATAAAAGAAACCATTTTGTTATCTTTCAGGAGCTTATATGGGTACTCGGTTTTATTACTCATTGCCATTTTGTGTTTTTATGTGTTAGCAATAAGGCATTTGTCATCTGACATTAGTGAGTGATTATTTTTCCAACTCACAGAAATAATATGTACAGCATGTCAGTTATTTGTCTTTTAAGAAGGCCTCACAAATTAATAACATATCAGGAGTTAGATCTGGAGCTTTAATTGCTATTTCTATAACTAATTTGTTTTGCTAATTTGGGTTTGTCTTTTAACCTCTCTGGGTCAGTGTCTTCCAGATTATATGGACATAGAAAATGCTTTAGAACTTTTAAAGGTCAAGTGATGATGTTTATAAAGTGCTTTGATAATTATAGGGAAATGAGGAGATAGGGAGTTGAAAGATTAGTTAGGAGAAACAAATGGAAAAAGAGAAAAACTGATATGTAACATCACTATAAAAATCTAAGATAGAAAAGGTCTAGAATTTTACCCTAATAGTAGCCAGACACATTAGGGATTATGAGGAAAGATGTAAGACTTGTGAGTCAGAGATGAAAACCTTTATTATTAGCAATAGCACTAGCAATAGGATTGACATTTTCTTGTGCAGGTTTCTTGAGTCTGAATCCCAGTGATTGGTTGAATAGAACCAGAGGAAGCTCGCATATAGTTGGTGCATTGTAGAAGAGCTTTAGGGAAGGTGAATTTTTTATATGGACAGTAATCATGCCTGCCTTTCCTCCTGCCTGCTGGAGGAAGATGCCATCTGTATCTACCAAGGCTATTCGCTATACAAACATACTTGAAAACAGAGGGAGGAAAAAAAAGAGAACAGTTAGTGCTTGGCTTGCAAAAATGTATGGAAATGAACAATGGAGAATTATCTCCCAATGGTCAAGTAGATGCAATGGAGGAAAAATAAGACAGCATAGGAGATAGATAGCAGTGGAGGATGATGCTACTGTCAAGGTCAGGAGTGACTTCTCTAACATTTTAAAGCTGTGACAGAGAACTTAAGTGCAAAGATCCAAGGTGAACCCATATATGCTGTACTCAGAAAATAACAAGGAGAGACAAGGCCATTGTTGCTGGAACTTAGTTAAGGAGGGGAAGAGAGGAAAAAGTTTAGATGAGAGTTGGTGAGATGCCATGTCATGTGGAGCTGTTACCAGAAAGTTTAGCACTGGTAAGTAACTTGGTTCTTATGTCTGGCCAGAGAAGAGTTTAGGCAAGACCTACAAATGTAGTAAAAAATAATAGTAATGTTTATTAGGAAAGGATTTAGTGCAATAGGATAAAAATGGGGAAAAATGAAAAAGGGAAAAACATTTCCTGTTCCCCATGCATGAGTCTTTTGAGTAAAGACTCAAAATGCTGGTCCTCATCTCTTAGTCTTATACTTTTGGAGAGCTGAGGGAATACATGTGGTCAAAGATAATTCATCTGGGAAGCTAAGATGGGTTCTAAAACAGGTTAGTGTCATCCAGGCCAATTCAGGTCACAGGAACAAAAGGTGTGCTTTAGAACTTCATTTGTTAGACATGTCTTTTATTCTTTTTGTCCCGCTACCCATCCAAGGAGCCTTGGAGCTTAACATTTCAAAGAGAAAAGTGATGCAGATAGCCCTGGAATGCAAACAGCCCTGTACTTGTAACTTAACATCTACAAGGTATGGAGGAAGGTGACCAGTTGCTCTGGTTTTTTAGTTTTTACCTTCTTTTTAAATCTGTTTTAATATCTGAGTCTGGCCCATTTTAATATTTATTAGAATAATATAATTTCCCTGTCTCCTCATCTGTAATCCTGATTTACCTATCACTCATGGCTAACTGAGCCTTATAGACGTTGGTTAAGGTTTCCAGTTTTATTCTGATTGAAATTAGAAGCCATTGGAAGGCTTCTAATGGAAGCCTTTTGAATGGAAAAGCAATGGGATATGGCAGTCATTTTAAGGGTACTGATATGGCAGCTCTGAATTAAATAAGCTATAGGAGTGGGGAATGGGAATGGAAAAAACTAAGTAAAGTTACTAAAACTATTTGGAAGAGAGCTTCCCTGTAGGTAGTGTTAGTGTAAGGTACTGCCAAATTAAGACCACGCCACATGTGGAAAGGAAAGATTTATTAGTCCAGACTGCAGGGCTGCCCCCACCCCCGCCCTGAGATCAGGGAGCAGTGACTTGGGTGAATTGGGTAGTGGGCTTTATAGGAGGGGCCGAGCCATGGGGGAGGGAGAGAGTCTCTGGTCTCTGATTATCTGCGATCACCAGATGGAACAGGTCGACATGCCTGGCTAGTTGAGTAACTGGAAGTTCCTGAGTTGTTTTGCAAGCCGAGAAACAATCAGCAGGAAGAAACAAGCAGTCATAAATCAAGGGGTCTGGTTTTAAGGTGTAGCCTCGGGTCCTTCCGCCCGCCCCAAGAATGTCAGGGACCTAACAGTTAGTATAGAGAGAAAAATTTTAAACTAATATAGTGTTTTATAGTATTCAAATTAAAATGTAATCAACTAAACCAAATATAATAATCATTGAGGTAGTTAAGATATGCTTATAGAAGGTTTATTTTTCTAGAGTAGAGAGGGCTAGGCTTAAAGATACTTATAAAACAACCAGAGGAACTTATACTAAGACAGATTGGAAACCATAAAGGCACTAGAAATGTTGCAGAATATGTAGGTCTTAAGACCTAAGACCAAGATTCCAGGATCACTCTTCCTAGGAGATACATATCTATACATACACACACACACACACACACACACACACACGCACGCATATATATTATTTTTGTGAGGTACTGGGGATGGAACCCAGTACCTCATGGTTGCTAGGGAAGTGCTTTATACTTGAACTACATCTCTAGTCCTTGTTTTTAAGATAGGGTCTCACTAACTTTGCTCAGACTGGCCTTGATCTTGTGATTCTTCTGTCTCCCCTTCAGAGTAGCTAGGATTATAGACAGGCACCACCACTCCTGGCTTATATGTGTTCTTTAAGCAGATAAGCAATAAAATCATGCACTTGGTGCAGAGGCTTAAATGTGAATTTCAAGTTCATGGGTCCCTTCACCTACTTTATCATCTAAATTTCTTCATTTTTATTTTATAGTGAAAGTATTTAAGAGAGAAAGTTGTAGTGATTTGATCAAATGACCTACTAAGTCTTTTTGACCACTCACTGAATAATCATTATTATCTTAAATATTCACAGTTTCATGTGGATCAAAGTGGTGAGAAGTAACCAGATGTCAGAACAAGGGCAGTAGACTCTTGGTATCACAGGTCTCTGGTTCCAAAGAGTCCACTGTTGAGGAGGAGCCATGAATGTGCTGCAGATAATTGATTCATTTTTCCCATAATGCTGCCTAACTTCTGTGAAAGACAGGGAGTGTGGCCTTGCAACAAGTCTAAAGCTTTCATTTTATGTCTTCAGCTAAGTCCCTGAACTTTTGTCTTGCTTTTTGGGAGGCAGATTTTCATAATATTAAGGACAGGGAAGCACTCAGCAGATCACACAACAGTTTAAACACAACAGACAAACTAGACTGGGAGTTTCTCCTGATCAACTGAGCTGCTCAATGCATGTAGGAATTTAAACTTTTGTTATTAAAATTTCTTTTGTGTGTGTGTGTGTGGGTGTGTGGTAATGGAGTTTGAACTCTAGGCCTCACACTTGCTAAGCAGGCACTCTACCACTTAAGTTATTGCACCAGTACTGTTTTGTGTTAGGTATTTTCAATTGCTCGGGACTGACTTTGAACTGTGATCTTCCTGACCTCTGCCTCCTGAATAGCTAGGATTACAGTTGTGAGCCACCAGAACCCAACTTTCTTTTGATTTTTAACCACACGTGGTCAAAACTGCATATAATAAATCCATGAATAAGATAGGCTTGCTGTATATTATGGTCAGTGAGAATGTGAATTATTCAGAGATATTCATAGTTGGGAAGGCATGGATAGATACATATCATGCAAGTATCCTCAAAGCTTAATAAGAAAATATTTTGCTACTAAACTATGGTTTGGCCTATTTTAATACCTATAGTGTGCATAGAGGGAGACAAGGTAGTTTAGATGAGATCCTGTTTGAGGGGGCCCTGTGGAAGGCATACCTGAGCCGTAGACATGTGCGTGAGTCTTTGTATGAAGTCTAATATCTGATTCCTAACTTC